ATTTTAAAAAATTAAATTTTATAAATTATAATATATAAAAAATTAATTATATTAATGTACTATATTAGTAATATACTAATATAGATATTATATATTTATATAATATAAGTTATATAATTAATATAATATATTATTTATATATATCAATATTAGGAATGTCAAACTGGCTCGTCGTTCGTGAACAGCTCGTGTTCGGCTCGTTCGTTAAGAAACGAACGCGAACAGTGACTTTGTAACGAAGAGATAGGGGAATCAGGGGGTCGACCGCGTTAGTTAGGTTTTTAAAGGCATTTTCCCCTTTTTTTTAATTATATATATTTGTCATTCAAAACCCTCGATTTGAGCATTTCTGGCTCGTGCACGAAGCCATAACACAATGGGCAACCTTCCTTGCTAAAATTAAAGTTATAGACGTGCTTGCACGGTTTGTTTCGCCATCTGAAGTCATCCAAACAAATTCATCGACGATCTGGCCAACTTCATGTATGAATTCGTATGTGCGAGCGAATAATAGTATTAACTCATACAAACCACGCCATTCCACAACAACATAAGCAAAGCCTTCTCTCCCATTGGGGAGGCTCGGTTGCATGAATCTTTTTTCAGGTCTCTTATAAAGTGTGATATTTTCATTTAATTCTAATAGATTTAAGATAATATTTTATATAACTTGCCTAAGTATTTTCTTAAGTCTCCCTCTACCCTTCTTATTGTAAGTCAAATTTAAAACTTCTACTCTCCTAATAGATTTATAAGATAGTTGTCAACATTTAAGGTGACAAAACCATCCAACCCTTAAACTTGAATTACTATTCTTATGCATTACATATGTTACACCAAAACTTTAAATTTAATATATAACCACACAATTCTTATGTATTACTCATCTAACACCTAAACTTCAATTTTTACATACAAACCTCACAAGTCTTATGTATTACATATCTAACACCGTAAGCTTCAATTTTAACATACAAACCACACAATTATTATGTATTACAGAGGTCTAAACTTCAATTTTGCTTGCAAACCACACTATTATTATTTATAACATATCTACCCCTTATACTTCAATTTGTTCATACATTCCACATCAATAATAGGGGGAAGTTAACTGACTGGATTGTGGAAATACAAAAATTAATTTATTTAAGGAAGATTTACATTCATACCACTGTATTTTTATGTATTTACATATTTAATATGTAAACTTCAATATTTAAATACCACCTTATTTATGCATGAAAATATATATCTCGCGCTTCAAAAATTCAAATTATTGACTTTTTTGATGTGATACTATTGATTAAGGTGCGTGGTATAAAATAAAAATGCAAAGTTTAGGTGATATATAGGTAAATAAATAGGAATTGGGTCGTATTTATGTAAATTACCTTTTAATTAACGAATCAAATTAAATATTTCCTAACCTCACTACATCTTCAACCGAATTTTCTTACCCAAAAATTTCAAATTAGCACGCCAAAACAGAGTTCGATAAAATTACTTGGCATTCGCTTCCAAGGACTATTTTCAAGCCAATAAGTGAGTTTAATGCCATGGAGGAATGATAATGTATTTTTAAAATATTTTTAGGATTATAATGATGATTTTATTGCTCTACACTTCGATCTTTATTTCTTTGAAACAGTAGCCCTTTGTATGGAGTCATCTTGAGGTATCTCAAGATTCTGTAGACTGCATTCATGTGTTCTTCCATAGAATTGTTCATGAATTGACTAACAACCTAATTGACTAACAACACTAACAGAAAAACCAATGTCGGGTCGTGTCTTTGAGAGATAGATGAGTCGCCCCACGAGTCGCTGATATCTCCCCCTAACCACAGGTGCACTATTTTTCTCAGCGCTAATCTTCTTGTAGGGATCCATTGGAGTATCGACGGGTTTGCAATCGAGCATACATGTTTCCTTCAACAGGTCCAATGTGCACTGTGACACAAATATTCCTTGTTTTGATCGAGCTAGTTCGATGTCGAGAAAGAACTTTGGGTTTTCGAGGTCTTTGATTTCGAATTCCCGAGTGAGAAGCTTTGTCAGATTTGTGAGTTCTTCTTCGTGATTTCCAGTGATAGTGATATCGTCGACGTATACGATTAGAATTGCAATCTTCTTTTCGGGAGAGGATTTCACGAAGAGAGTGTAATTTGCCTGACACTGAGTATACCCGTGTTTTGTCACTAATTTTGCAAATCTATCGAACTATGCTCGGGGAGATTGTTTGAGGTCGTATTAAAGTTTGCAGACTTTGTTGCTTGGAAATGATGTTTCTAGTCCGGTAGGTGCTTCCATGTAAACTTCTTCTTCCATAAACTTTGCTTCCATGTAAACTTCTTCTTCCAAATCGTCATTTAGGAAAGCATTTTTCACGTCGAGTTGATGTAGCTGCTAGTCTTTATTTACCACAAGTGAGAGAAGAATTCTGATGGTGTTAAGTTTGGCTACGGGGCAAAGGTTTCTTGGTAATCAATATCGTAGGACTGTGAAAAACCTTTTGCTACGAGACGTGTTTTTAATATCTCAATTGTACCATCTGCCTTGTATTTGACTTTGAAGATCCATTTGCAGTTGATTGCTTTCTTTCCCTTTGGCAGGTCTGAAACATTCCATGTACCATTCTTTTGTAGGGCTCTTACCTCCTCATTGATGGTTGTTTTCCACCCCAGGTGTTTGAGAGCTTCATCAATGGTGTTTGGGATTTATATATTGTCGAATGTAGTGACATAGGCTCAGTAAGCTGAAGATAGTTTTTCATATGACAGAAAGTTGGAGATCGGATGCATCGTGTGTTCGTACCTGAGTGGAGGACCGATGGACCTAACACATTTTCTTAAAACAATTGGAATGTCGAAGTCATCAATCATAGGTATAGTAGATTCATGCTCAAGTGTTTTCATACCTGAGTGGATTTCGATAGGATTTGGATTCGGTTCTGACCCTTGGATTGATGCTGGATGTATTGGGTGATCTATGTGCGAGTTGAACACCTGAGGACTAGACGAAGACTGATTGTTAGGTACATTTTCACGTGAGTTGGATGAACTTGCTAAATCCAAGTCGGGAGATAATGAGTTTGGTTCAAGGGACGAGGATTTGGTGTGTAGTGGTATGAACTCGTTGTCCCCCCAAGACTGATATTCCCTTAAAGTATCCCCTTGAATATTATAATTGGGGTAGTAAGACTGATTTTCAAAGAAGGTGACATTCATAGTTTTGTAGGTTTTTCTTGTGGGAGGAGAGTAGCACCTATACCCTTTTTGAATAGGCGAGTAGCCGAGGAAAATACATTTAGTAGATTTGGGGTCAAGTTTATTGTGATTGTGTGAATGAATGTGAACAAAGGAGGAGCAACCAAATACTTTGGTAAGTAGATTTTGGATAATTGCCTTGGTGTGGGGAAATGATTTGAGAAGGAGTTGGACTGAACTTTGAAATTTGAGAACCCGAGAAGGCATCCTATTGATGAGGTAGGTTGCAGTGGATACAACGTCACCCCAAAAAACCTTAGGCACGTTAGAGGAAAACATGAGGCAGCGGGCCATCTTTAGAAGGTGGCGGTTCTTGCGTTCGACGATTCCATTTTATTGAGGAGTGTCGACGCAAGAATTGAGCTGGAGGATGCCTTTAGAGGAGAGATAAGAGCCGATGACAGGAGCGAAGTACTCCTTTGCATTATCAGTCTTGAGTGCCTGGATGGAGGTTTGAAATTGTGTTTTGATCATTGAGTAAAATTGTTCAAATATGTGACCAACAAAAGATTTATTTTTCATAAGAAATAATCACGTTAGTCGAGTGTGATCATCAATAAAGGAGACAAACCACCGAGTCTCGGTAAGGGTTGTAACACGGGATGAGCCCCAGATATCGCTGTTAATGAGTGCAAAGGGCCGGGAAGAGGTGTAACAAACACGTGGAAATGACGTGCGAGTGTGTTTGACAAGTTGACAAAAATCGCATTGAAAAGAACGAACATCTTTATTGATAAGTAAATTTGGAAATATTTTTGCAAGATACATAAAATTTGGTTGGCCGAGACGAATGTCATAACATGATCTCAAAATCTTTATTGACACTAGAATTGAAGACAGAATGATGGGTAGACAAATGTTCACTGCGAGGTCGTAGTGGCGAAGTACCATAGAAGACATAGAGACTCGAGCACATCTCAGCATTGTCAATCGTCGTCTGAGTCCGCATCCTGAAATTCACACGTGGTAGGGAAAAATTTAGCAATACACCTCAGATCATTAGTCAACTTTCTGATGGATATTAAATTGCAATTTAAGGTAGGAACAAAAAGTACAGACCGGAGTAGGATATTTTGGGTGATGCGCACGGAGCCTAAGCCTATGACTTTGAAGACGGAGCCATCGGGAACGCGGATGGTGAAGTTGTCTCCGCACGACATATAGTCATAGAGAAGGGAGACATCCCCAGTCATGTGATGAGAAGTGCCGAAATTGATGATCCACTGATCGAAGGATCCTAGATTGACTGTGAAGGCATAATGGAACGTACATTGATGCGCGAGCAAGCCGTTGATGGGGTCGAGAACAGCCAGATCAGGTGGTTTTCCGATCAATTTGTTCAGCAAATCTAGTTGCTCTTTGCTGAATGGACTGGGTGCTAATGCAGGAAGGTCATCGATAGCGACGGCGTTGTTGGCACGGGGAGCGCGAACAGACCGAGGCCTTCCAAGCGGCTGGCTTTTCATGAAGCACCCAACACGTGTCTTTATTATGGCCTGGTTTGATGGCCTTTGCTTGATGGGTTGTCGCTGTGTTGAGGCGGAGGAACCCGAGCTGCAAGGGCGGAGGCGTCAACAGAGAGATTAGGCGAGGTGAAGATAAGCCCAAGCATAACTTTTTGGCCGCTTTCTTCATGACGAACCTCGGAGAAGGTCTTGCGAATGCTCGGTAGTGGTTTGAAGCCTAATACACGAAAGCGAACGTGATCGAGAGAGTTGTTAAGGCCGAGAAGGAATTTGAATATCTTTTGCTCGATGATCTGACGGTATAAGTTGGAGTCCGGAGTGCATGACCAGACATAGACTTCATACATGTCAACTTGCTGCCAGTAACGTGAGAGGGCATTAAAATACTGAGTCACAGATTAATCACCTTGGTGAAGATCGTGGAGGATTGACTCAATCACGAAGAGCTTGAATGTTTTATCTGAGTGAGAGTATGTCTCTCGAGCAGCATCCCATATACTCTTGGTCGTGCCGTAGAGAAGAAAATTTTCGACGATCGACGATGTCATGTCGTTGGTCATGGAATTGATTAACCACAACATGACCATGTGATTTTTTGCATTCCATGTCCGGAATTTTGGGTCATCCTTGGTCGGAGCAATGGCATCACCGATGATATAGTCGTCCTTGCCTCTGCCGCAGATAAACATCATGACAGCTTGGAACCACTGCCACTGGAACCACTGGAGGTAGTTCTGGCCGTTGAGTTTGTGGCCAGTGATGAGGGAGGAAGTGTCATCGATTCCAATTGAAACAGGGGCAGATGAGGCAGAAGATATTTCTTAGGAGGAAGAAGAAGAACTCGTCATACCGAAGAAGATTGGTATGACTCTGGTTCCATGAAAAAATATGAAAGGACTTAATTTTATTGATGAAAGGAGGGGTATAAATACCCATTACAGGACTTACTGGTAAGGAAAACAATAAAAACAGAATACTATAGAAAATAAAATGAATAATAACAAAATATAAGAGACATCTAATCTCTCTAATTTAAGGAGAGAAATAAATAGAGATTCTCAAGATCCCTCATATAATTTATAACCCTCTAAATATAGAGTTATAACAAATATAGAATATAATAATTAGTATTTTCGAGATCTTTCAACACTTATTCTATATAAAATGGTAAGTACTTATTCAAATATTTAACTTGTGAAATTAATATGAACAAGTTACGTACAAATCAATTATTGATCAATACAAATTTTAAATAAGCCATGTATGCGCATAAGCTAGGCTGAAGTTTTAAATGAACTTGACCAACTTATGATTGGATAAGGCCAAATCTAACCCACGACATACTCTGACTCGCTTATAGCCCAAACCCCATAAGCTCCATTATATATATAAGGAAGTAGCAAAATTATGGTGAAATTTGAATTCCTTTATTCTTGATAAAACAATGCTTGGTTGGCTACCCTAAACATCCATGGTGAGCTATCCGATATGAGACATTGGGCCCTTACTATGAAAATTGCATTTCAACCTCCTCAATTATTGTCCAGATAAATTTCTTTTCAATAACAATAATAATAATAATAAATAGTATTGATTAATGATTTATAGATGTTTTTGTTGGGATCATACAATTCTCATATAATCAAAAATGAGTTTTTGATGCCTCATCGCTTAAGAAACCATGTAGCCCTAGTTGAAAAGGAAAGAAGATTTTTATTTTAAATTAAATTTGGCTGTTACATATATAAAAATTAATGTTTAGATATGTAAATACATAGAATTGAGTGACACATTTTAATTCAAATGAATTGGGTGCTAAGTATGTCATTAAACCCCATAAATTTAATATAATTTCTTCTTATTTTTTTTATTTTAATAAACCAATTTATTGGTACTTATTATGTCATTTGATAGCTATAAAGTTTACTTGTAACTTATAGTCTATTTTCTTACTTTTTATAAACTGATTAAATGCTTATTTGGGATTTATTCAATTACTTATTTAATTAGATTTGTAAAATTATTCTTTAATAAATTTATGTTAAAAAAATATATATATTCTTTAAAAAAATTTGGCATATTTACTAACTTTATAAGAAAAATCAAATACAATCTGCGAAATTCGTTAACTTCACCGGTCACAATTTCTCATGCGACAAACTTGCAAACTCCGATGACCGAGCACCACCTGTCGTAACTGCACCTGTCTCAACTCCTTTTGCGACAAACTTGCGAACTCCCCTAGTCGAGCACCACCTGCCGCAACTGTACCTGCCGCAACTCTACCTGCGACAAACTTGTTAACTTCGTTGGCCGAGCACTACCTGTCGCAACTGCTCCTGCCGCAACTCCTGCGACAAACTTGCAAACTCCACTGACCTAGCACTACATGTCGCAACTGCACCTGCCGCAACTCCTGTGACAAAATTTGCGAACACCGCTAGCCGAGCACTACCTATCTGTCGGCACTATTTTTGGTGTGAGGTTTGCCCGTAAGAAGCTGTCGGTCATCGGAACTGAAATCCCGTTGCCTGCTTCGGAAGGACGTTAAAAAAATTTAGTTTTGAAAAAGATGAAGTCAAACTGACCCCATAATTTTCATAGTTTAAATGGAAGAGCGCTTTACCTCAAATCCTGTATCTATCCCAAAGGATGAATACAAGAATTGAGGGTGAGACTCGATCAAATAAACTAAAAAAAGTTATGACATCCGTTTGGTCTGCGAAAACCAATATATTGGCCGACAAATTCCCCTATTTAATATAAGGAATTAAATAGGGTTTATATTATGCTGGGTTCGGGAAAAGCTTCCTATAAGGGCAAACCCCTATAGTTAATTACATCTTAGATAACTGAAATTACCTAAGAATACTCTCGATAAAAATCAAGAAAAATTACCTTCAAGGAGTTCAAATGGTAAGGACAT